GGGGTGGGGGGCAGGGGATAAGAAGGCTTTGTGAGTCTGTGCTCTGCCAGCAGGACGGCCACACGGCTGACTTTCCTGAGCCCGTTCTCAGAGACATGGAGTTAAGAGAAGCAAAAGGGGGAACGTACTCAACATTTCTTAAGCCGAAAGAACAGAAGGAAAACTCACAAGCCTCAAGTGACAATACTGAAGGATTCTACGTGCAAACATGGAATGACCGCTTGGATCCTCAAAAGAAGATAGAAGGAATACAGAGTTGCTCAACCCAAAAGAACTGGTCAGAGTGCAACCGTTCCAGGAGGCAAGCACGTGATCAACATGTGGTGACATTGAAGGAAGACGTCCAAGCTGCCCCAAAGGCCTTGGCAAAAAAGCAAGCTCCAGCAGTGGGTGAAATATCAACTGAGATATTTGAACAAACAGGAAGTGCTCACTCATAAATGCCGCCAAGGGATTTGGAAGACAGCTGACTGGCCACCCGGGGTCATGCCTGTTCTGAAGAAACACAACGAATCACACAATAGGATTCATATCGCATGCACATAAAATGCCAAAAATAATTGAAAAATGATTGCAGAGCATTAATAGGAAGCTGCCAGAGAGTCCAAAGAGGACATGGAGTGAGATCCCACTGGTGATGTCAAATGGATCTTGGCTGAGAGCGGAGAATACAGAGAGATGTTTACTTGTGTTTTATTTACTATACAAAGGCCCTGGACTGTGCGGCTCGTAACAGATTATGGCTAACATTGCAGAGAGAGGGGAATTCCAGAACAGTAACTTGTGTTCATACACACACCAAGAGGTAACCTGTCCTTCTAACAAGAATGTATCCACTCACCTGATTGGTAACATCAAACAAGGTGAAGAGGGGTTGGTGGGGGGCTGAGAGGTGGCGGGGGTGGGGGTGGGGGCGGGGGAGATAAAGAAGGGCCCCTGCAAGGGGCAGAAGGCAGGTCAGTCTCGGGGAGAGAAGACACATGGCCTTAGCCTCATGTCTAGGCCTGCTGGCAGTCTCCGCTCCTCCTCTGTGCCCCAATCTTGGCCTTCTCCTTGAAGGTTTCTTCCTGTTGTGCTTCTGTCCCATCCACAGGACACAGCTCTGAGAGCGGTGCCTCTGGCCTCTTTGCCCTCTGCACCCTGGATGGTGAGTCCCTGGACTAGCCGTGTGGGCCAGCGCTGGCTGGGGTGCCTGGGCGGTCCGGTCTGATGGGGGATCCCTGCCCGCCTCTTCCCCTCAGGGACACTGAAGCTTATGCAGGAAGCAGATAAGCTGCTGTGGTCGGTGCAGGTGGATCACCAGCTTTTTGCCTTAGAGAAATTAGATGTCACGGTGAGTGGACCTCCTCGCTAAAAGTCCTTCAAACTCACTGCTGTGCAGCCGACGCTGGCTCTGGGTGACCCTGCCGGACAGGGTGGAACCGCCCCTCGGGTCTCCCAGACGGTTTCTCCTGTTTGTTGTTGTTGTTCTTGACAGGAGTAGAAAGCCTCTTCTTTCTCCCGCAGAGCAGCGCGTGGTTTCAAGATGCTGACCTTGTGGTTAGCAGCAGCCCAGTGCACAGCCACGATCCCTCCAGGGCTCCTGAACACAGACTAGCTAAAGCAAAATGATGAAAGGGGGAAGAGGTCTGCACAGAAGATTTCCAAGAGGAGACAGTGTGAAATACTATAATGAGATGGACAGAGACCTGGAGTTTTGTGTTTTTGCCATCTACCTTCCAACAAAGATCATCTAATTTGACACCCTCTCCCCCAGCACGGCCAGAGGTTTCCTTGGACCTCCGGCAGTTGGTCCAGCCCCTCTGAGCCTTAACTTCCCCTCTCTGGAACCTGGGGTTTGGCCAGAGAGCAACACTGTTGGGCGGATGAAACGAGCACATAAAGTGCTTAGCACAGTGCCTGCACAAGGACTCACTTAGTAACGGGCGGCTGGATTACCGAAGTCAACCTAGAGCACTTGTTCAGCAAAGCATGGAATCTATGCCCCAGACCCATAGATCAAGAACCCTAGCACCCCACTCGGTCCCTGACGATGGTGAGGAGCGAGCGCGTAATGCTGTTGAAAATAAGGTCTGTTGGCTCGCCCCACCCCCACGTCCCTGACAAGTTCAACTGCTCCGTTGACTCAGAACACGCCCATCAGGCAGCCCTGGAGTGGGGCAAGGTCTGGACGAGTTAACAAACCAGATTTGAATTTTCACACCAACCGCAGGAGGCTGGGAATGAGGTGGGGCTTGGGGGGTGGGGGAGGGGTGACACAGCATAAAGAAAGACCTCTTGGATCTTCTGCAGGAACCACCAGCCATGCCCACTTGGCAAATTGATTTTACCTTCCCTCTTGGGAAAAACAAGCTCCCATTAGCAGATGCAGCCTATCTCCTCTCTCCCTGAACCGTCTCCCCTCTCCTTCTCCCCCCTCCCCCACCAAGAAGCGTTGGATATCTCCAGTGTCACACCAGCCCCTCTCTGGGACCTCAGCACTGGCC